GTCCAGTATGTTCACAAGGTTTTCTAAACTCTGACTAGATCTTAACTCTAATGTCGTTCCAGAATTCTGAGATCTCTGTACTTCAGATCTCTGGATTCAGGAGTTTTCAGACTCTAGGCAGCTGCTCTTTCATGAGGTGAGATATCCCAGAAACTCACTACACAATATACAGTTTGGGAATTATTCAAGCTCCCAGGGTATTTGCATGGAAGTATCTCCATTTCTCTCTCTGTGACTGTTTTCTCTGACACTTTTAACTTCTGAATCCATCTGCCTTAGTAGTCCTGAACTCTTACTTCGTACTGTTTTTTGGGCTTTACTTTCATGGATGAGGGCTCTTAAAATGATCCCAAGGAGAAAATTTGGGTGAATGGGAACTAAACCTAAGTAATTTCCCTTTATCAGGGCTTGTAGCCCTGCCTTGGTTGTTTACTAATGCTTGCAAAACAGCTATTTTGTATAATTTGGTTTGCTTTTATTGCTGTACCCAGTAAGCAAAAAAAAAAGCTCAATCATAGTTAAATCAGACTTACCTTTGTCTAATATTTAATTAAAAAAAAACCAGATACAGCAATAAAATACTCATCCCAGAGGCACACACACACACAAAAATCATTAGCAACAACAAAATAAAGAAAGGAGTATTTCTTGCCATGAAACATCAAAGAAAAAATTCTGAGGAAATTAAAGATTATAGTATAGACAGTCCTGGCTTTTCAGAAGCAGTATTTATGAGTCTTCAAATCCTGGGTATTCTTTCTTTCCAATTTAGAATATCTCTAAATTTAGAGTGAAGTAAACTATGCAACTATTCTTACTCTTTTCTGATGGGAGAAAGGCTTAGGAGAGAAAGCAGAGGAAATGGCTTAGGATAGAAAGCTTTCATCCTGAGGCCTCTCTTCTAGGTTTGTAGGTAGCTGCCATTTCATTGTGTGTGCACATGACCTCTTCACATTACGTCTATAATGACAGGAAGCAGGCTTGTGGATGAATCGCATTATAAAGACACCGATCCTGTGGATCAGAGTGCCATGCTTATGACTTCATCCAACCTTAATTATTTTGTAAAAGGTTCTATCACCTGTGGGGGCCCACAAACATTCAGTTCAAAACACATTCTCCCAGAATGACTGGTGTAAGTATTCTCAAACCTGAGGAAATCTTTTGTTGGACAATATCTGATCCTGATTGCTTGCACCAAATTCAGGGTCTTTAGGAAAACCTCAGAAGAAAAGCAAAGCATGTAACCTCTAACAGAGTCTGCACAGAGACTCAGAGATGACCTCTTCTCTTTCCTTTACCTTCTCATCCTAGAATGGTAGACAGAATGCATAGCTCACCTTCAAACCTTTGCTTTATAGAAAAAACAAACATGTCTCAAATAAGAATAAAAATAAGAATTGAGCCAAGTAGAATTCATTTAGCATGTAGCATAGAAAATATAATTTCTGATCAAAAAAGAAACAATATAATAAATATAAAAATATGGTATGGAGAAAGAAAAAAGAATCACTATAAGCAAAATAGGCTAATAAAATACATTCAAAGCATATTCTCAATTACACAACACAGCACCTGCAAGACCTCCTTGGAAACACTAAATGAATAAATCAAGGAATGAATAAAAATAAAAAATCAATGTCAGAAAAATCATGGCGAAGTAATTAACTGAATTTTATTCTATTTAAATATAGAACTAAGTTCAAACCACTTTGAGCTTGGAGTTATACGTGGAATGCGAATATTATAAATCCTGACAATGAATAAGTAACATCTAAGAAAAAATAGAGAAAGAGGGAAGAAAAGGTGAGAAATAAAAGAGCTACCTTCCTCTGTTTTAAATGGCAACACATCAGTTGGTATTTACTAAAACAAATATAAGTTTAAACATAAGGGAGTCATGTGATTTCAAGTAGTAATTACAACTTTGAAGGAATCTTTAGGATAAAATATCTCATCAGATGTAAACATCTAAAGTTCAGCCACTCTTTAAGATTCACTTTATGCCTGTAATTCCAGCTACTCGAAAGGCTGAGGCGGAAGGATCGCCGGAGCCCAGCAGGTCGAGGCTGCGGTGGCCGGGAGCGGCCACTGCACTCCCAGTCTGGGAGACAGAGTGAAACTCCACTCAAAAAAAAAAAAAAAAAAAAGATTCACTTAATACATTTATCTTCTTTTTAAGTATATTCTTAAATTAAAAATAGCATTTTTCAGTATGATGGTACTAAGCCGACCTGTATGCCTCTTAGCATATCTATTTATCAATATATCTATGTTCTACAATATCTGAAATCATGATGGCCCTTTTATGTTAACAATATTATTTCTAGATAGTGTGATCTTGATGGCGATTTTCTACTTCTTTGTATTTTTTCTACTGCTTGAATTATTCACAGTGAACATGAGCGTGCACACACACACACACACATACACACACATACATATACACACGCACATTGTTCCAGTTTCTAATATGCTTTGGGGTTAAATTGACTGTTCATCTAATAGTTTCATATTAGAAGTTTTAGCTAAAGCTTGAAGCTGGAGAAACTAGAGTGTGATGAGACATCTTTCCTGGGGAATTCCTGCCCTGCAGTTATATCACGGAAAAGTGAGTGTATAGTGTCCTCTGCCTTTCTTACTGATCCATGAGGCAAGTTGCACAAGAGAGAGTGGCTCCTTTTTGCTGCTTTTGAGAAAAAGGACCCCTTGCATATAACATAGGATACATATGGAAGCTACAACACAATGGGTGTCAGGCTGCGATATGGCTGCTTCATTTCTCTTGGTATAGCACATCCAGAACCACAGGGGTGTGCGCCAATGCCTTCCCAATTGAGAGAGAAGTGCTGATTTACATTGGCTAAGTAGAAAAAGGGAGAGAAACAGGTTCCATGGACAAGATCCCAAAGAACTGCTACAAATGGGACCTGGCTTAAATCCAGTTCTTCAATAACCAATATTAAATAAGAGTGGCAAAATGAGAATTCCAACTTAAATATCTGTATATAGGATACTTATATATACATAGGGTCATTTTTAAAAATTAAATCTTACTCTGAATACAAGATTTGATAAGGGAAGAGGGTAAATGTAAAATATAAGCACCTTAATGCCACACAATTTCAGGTAATTGAAATTCTATAACATTCTATATAATCTACTTGGGCAATTCTTTTCACATCCCAGCCTTCAAAGTTCTTCAGCATACTGAGACACTAAAATCTCTCTTTTCCAATCTCTTTCAGATCTATATATGCAATTACGTACTGAATAGTCTATTCCAAATTCAGCATGCAAAAAACTCAAATGTACCCTATCACAACTTGTTCTTTCTCTTCACTCATTCAACAACTTTTTTTTTTTTTTGAATCAAAAATCTTACTCTAATGCCCAGGCTGGAGTGCAGTGACACCATCATGGCTCACCACAGCCTCAACCTCCCAGGCGCAGCTATCCTCTTGCCTCAGCCTTCCAAGTAGCTGGGACTACAGGTACATGACATCATGCCCAGTTAATTAAAAATATATATATTTTTTGTAGAGATGAGGTCTATGTTTCCTTGACTTGAACAACTCTTTTAAAAATATCCACTATATGACAGGCACCATGGTAGATGTTGGGTATACAGGCACATATGACTCATTGCTGGCTTTGAGAAGTTCAAGGTTTAATGGAGAAGACTGAGATTTAATAGAAGTGAATACAACATGAACACAATAACAGATCACAGGGTGCTGTGAGATATAGAAAAAGACATCTAATCCAGAATAGTGGGGATATGAAGGGAGGGGATAAATTAGTGATCAGGAAACTCATACATATAAAATGTTTGAGCTTCCTCAGAGAATTAGCAGGACAATTTCTGCTCAGTCAGGCAACTCCTCCTTCTGCCGCTGATCTAGCTATTCCATTAAGCCTGGCCTACAACTCATGGCAGCAGTGACTTTCCAGGTCACCACCGGTTCTGGAAACTGCCTCCATGGTTACCTCCCTTCCGTCGGTGACATTTACAGATTGCTCACTTAGCCCCAGGCCCCTGTCTGCTCTATATTACATTGGTTTTTGAAGGCCACCCGGTATCTTGGAACACCCAGATTTTGAGGGGGGGAAAATAGCATAGGTTGTTGCCGGCTCCTTTGCTCAGAAGTTTCAGTCTTTGGGAAATTATTTAACCTCTCTGAAGCTTACCATCTCATCTTGTAATTATAATACAAGTGCTTATCTCAAGGGAAGGTGTAAATATAAAATGAGACGAGGGGTATGAAAGCTGGTGTAGCCCAGCACACATATCATTTCTTTGTAGGTTCTTAGCGTGATAGGGCATGACTCCAGTAAAAATCTTACAGATGGGAATCCTTTAAGGAGGACGTGAAGCTTTGGAACTTTCTCAAACATACGAACATGGATTTCAACCGAGTTCTGTGTTTATCTTCTTCCTAGCATCTCCTGGCTTCCAATCTAGTCTGGACTTCATTCCAGTCATTTACTAGCCTTGGACCAGTTATTTACTTTCTCCTTCAGTTTCCTCTTGGGTGTCATGGAAATAATTCAATGTTCCTCAAAGGGATATTGAGTAGATCCTTTGAAGCAAGCAGTAGAAAGCACCATGTAGTGGTGACTCCACACGGTTTTTACCAAGGAAAGCTGCCCTTCTGGGAACGCTTAGGCGCCTGGAACTGAGCAATAAAAAGCGCAGCTCGACTTGGGTGCAGCTGGTTCAGGACCAGCGTTTCCAGCTCTCCAGCCTGGGAGGCAGCGCGGCGGGAGGAGCCCGGCCCTGACCCCAGTAGGGGGCGCCGCGGCGCCGCACTGCAGCATCCCGGCGGCGGAGCGCGGTGGCCTCGGCCGGGCTGAGCTCGCGTCCTGCCGCAGTCCCTCGGCCGCTAGTCGGAGCGAGCGCGAGGGAGGAGACCCCCGCCCGGCCGCCGGCACTTGCTGCTGCGGCGGCTCCCACCCGCGATCGCAGCCCAGCAACTCTAAACCGCAACCTGCAGGCCGGGCTGCGCAGCGTGGGAGGGCTTCGCGATCTCGGGGGACCGATTCCGAACTTGCAGAGGACAGCGGCTCTCGCGGCCTGGAAAGTGTGAACAGGTGAGTGTCACGCACGTGTTCAGGTGGCTCTTTCGGGAAGATTTCCTGCAGACCCGTTCCAAGCCCTTGAGCGCTCGGCCTCTCAGCCAGTCCTCTCGGTCACTGGGTCCCTCTTAAAGCGCGGTTTTGGGGTTCGCTGAGAGAGAGATGTGAACGCCAGCACCCAGACTTGACAGCGCTTTTCCTAGCTGAGACCGAGAATGCCTTTTCACTTAGGTGAAAGCAAATGACCTGAGGTCCACCATGGACCTGTTTATCTCTGCAAGATACCTGTTGATTTCAGAGCAACACTAGAACCCAGGGGCTTGTACAATTATCCTCATCGTGTGGGTGCTGCGTAGTGGTAAGATGAGGGAGAATTCCTGGTAATGAGACCTGGAAAACTTGATTTCAGAGCCAGGGAAGAGGAGGCCAAAAGAGAAAAGGAAATCTCGTTCCCACCACCAGACTAGGGTCTTTGCTTCCCTAAACGACCACACTTGATGTTGATGAGACCATAAAAACAGAAGTTATAGACATGATTACCTTATAAAGATCTTGCTTTTTGTTGTTGTTGTCCCCCCAAGAGGAAAAAACATGAACCTTGATAAATATAGTCTTGGCAATGATTTATTAAGGATGAAGCCTGTCTTTAAGTAAATAAATAAGGTTATTAGTGATCTAAATGTCAGGGGTCTAACGGTATAAGCTCCTCAAAGGCATCTACTTTTGTTTGTAAATGCTTAGCATAAGTGTGCAATGAATCAATTAACGCATTAATAATAATACAGGATTGGGAGGCTAGCTTTGTTTCTTTTTTCTAAATTTTCCTTTAATTGCTTTGTGTTTAGCAAAAAGAAACACCACACCTTTAATCTAAATATTTAGGTGCGACTTTAGGAGCAATAGGAGCTGAAAAGTTTTTGTTCTAATAAAGCACTGTCCACATAAAAAGTGAACGGCAGTGCTTAGTCCTAGTCAGAATATTTCAGCACAACATTAAGACAAATGAGTTTTCCTAGATTAATGTTATGGAAGCTCTCAGACTATGTAATATTTTGAACATCAGAAACTTGGCAACAGTTACTACAACAATTGCACATCTATTTTTGTTGTTTCTCTTGTCAAATGTAACTTTTCACATATTCATGTGAGAAAAAATATTGAAGCACTTATGTCAATTTTAGTGTCTTCCTTAAAGTGATTTTTCTAAACATAACGTTAGGTTGACAATAATCAGTTATATCTTTATTAGGTTATAAGTGAAAAAATAACCCCATAATTTTTTTCTTATGTAAAATTCCTATGCCTCTTAGGCCATTTGGGAGTTACTGAAATATTTAACTTAAAAAAATCATATTTGATGACTACTTTCATGAAACATTAATCAGAAAGATAATTACTTGAATTTTATATGCACGGGTATGATCAGTTTGCATGAAATAGCAGATTATTGTTTATATTAGTTCCAGACACTTACATGTTCTATGTTTCAAAGAAGTGCTTGCCAGCATCTATTCCCACTTATAATTGAAATAATTAATATATCTCAATATATTATGCTTCTGTAATGAAGCACTGAACCTGAAACATTGGAACTTTTTCTTAATGAACGCATATAAAATGACAAATAAAGAAATCCTTTTATCTTTAGCCAAAAGTACGGGACTGGACAACTTGCAGATGTTTAAGTTTCTGGTTTTTGTACTATTAATGATTAATAAGATGTGTTTTCATTATTAGAGAGGAAGTAAACAAAAACTGATGTTGACCTTTTCCTTCAGAGGAAGCTCTGGCACTTTGTAAATCAGTAAATACAAAATTCGTTAGATACAGGTCAATAGCTTGAATACATTAATGAGGAAAACAATTACATGTTAATGTCTTTGTAGAAATACTTTATCAGAAAGCTTTTTCACTTTTTTCTTTCTCAAGAAGTTCTTTTTAAAAATTTTGTAGAAGACAAAAGTCTGGCAAGAACAGTTAACATGTTTAGATAACAAATTTGTGTTCCAAAAATATCTTTATAGACTGAAAAAGTAGATAAATTATGAAGATTGACCTGATTAAGTTTTAACATGGGTGAAAGTGATGTCTGGTATTTAGGTTTACAGATTGCAGAAGTTCAGAATGGGGGAGTCTGCAGTCCATGATGTGAGCCTTAAAATGAGAGTCTGTGCTACAGTACAACTTGCGTGTGCTGATAAAGGATCATGAAGACCAGTCTCAGGGAATTTACACTGGTTCTGTTTGTTAGGTCATATCTCAAAGTAGAACATAGTGGAGACTACATTTTTCGAGTGATTAAGATATTGGGGAGACTGTTGCTTATGGTGAAAAAGGAAGTGAGGTCAAAAAAACCCAAAACAAAACATAAACAAGAATGTGCATCCCATGAAGAATGAGTGGACAGGCTGAGTCCCTTTTTCCTAGAAAGTGGAAGGCTAGGATGTGGCAATGTGGTAATGATACTTGACTTCTTTTAGGGTTCTCAATGAAGGAAAAAATTGACTTGCTTTGCGTCATTTCATGGCAAAAAAAAACCCAGACAAATGAGAAGTGATAGGGAGACATTACAGACCAATATAAGAAAGACAGTTTCTCCTAATAAGAGAAATGAGCAGCTTTCAGAGGTAATGATCTCACCTCTCACACATGGAAGTGGTAAATAGGTACAGAATGATTGTCTTGTCCTAAAATTCTTGCAGTGGTGGGAGGATTTCTTTGCTAATCCCCAAGGATCTTTCCAAATTTACATTTCTGTAATGCTAAGAACCTAGATGTCATTTCTAAAATACCAACCTATATATATGATGTGCTTACATAGTACCTAATGCCATTTCCTAAGTGTTAGGACAGTACTATGAACCAATTTACTTGAGGTTGTCATAGAAAAGGAATCAGAACTTGGGGCATAGTATTCATCATCTGTGAGCCAGGGCATAATACCCAGCAAAATATAAAAATATAATCTGGATGTTATATATCAATTCCTGGAGCATGTATATCTGTCATATGATTTGATCATGTAACCTACTATGAAATAAGATAAAATTTAACTTTGAAATGCAAAATTGAATTGTGTTAAAATGAAGTTGACTAATATGAATGTATATTTTTCAACCCCAAAGCAAATAAGGTCCAAAGTCACTTTCTACATGTGCATGTTTGTACAGCGAATGTTTACAGGAATGGTAAATGTATGTATTCACATACTTCAAGTATTTATTTTCAATTACTACCAAGAATCAATGCCTTCATAAAAAAAATTTCTTAAGGAAGTACTTTAGAAAATGCTATTGTGTGTGAAAATGCACATTTTAGAATTAACTGGATCTAATTCAAGTTCTGGATCTACCATTTATTAGATAAACATTTATAGTAAGTGACTATAACCCTCTCACAAGATAGTGGTGAAAATTGAATTATAAAATATTGAGAAAGTGGATGGTTGCTGGCTTATGGTAGATGCTTAATAATTATCAGTTCATTTCCAGTCACTTATGAATTCCCAAATCTCTTTTGTTTAAAGATTGTGGACTCTTCTAAGATTCACAATGAAATGGTGAATCCAAAGGCTAGAACCAAACAGATTTGCTCGGGATCTTAATTTTAACAACAGTAAATTGTCTACCAGCACCCATCATGGCTAAAAGTGCAGAAGTCAAACTGGCAATATTTGGGAGAGCAGGCGTGGGCAAGTCAGGTAAGATTTTTGTTGTAGTTGTGGTGTGTGTGTGTGTGTGTGTGTGTCTTTGTTACTGCCTCTTGGGATTGGGTAAGTAGGTGGTTGACGTTTCTCATCTTCTCTTTTGTTGTTTTTTTAAGAAGTTTCTCTTTATCTACAACTTTTATTTTGCATAATCAACTGTTATGTTTCCCTTTCTTATTTGTTGATAACACACAAGGCAATGGGTATATCATAGGCCTTGGCATTCTGAGAAAGAAATTTTTAATAAGCTCCAAAGAAATCAAATCATAGTAATTAAAAAATATATTTGTTCTTTTCTGTTTATATGAGATTCTGAGGGGCTGATTTTATATCTCATTCATTTTAATATTCTCAGCAAATAGTCCAATGTGTCAAGCATATGTCAGGTGTTTAATAAAGACTTGTTAAGTAAATATATCTTTATCAGAAATGGAATTGCATTATTGCCCAACACTTCTAAAATCCTGGGGTGACTCCTAAAACTTTAGGAGTGCATGCCCTCAAGCACAGCTATTGTCAGTGCTTTGAATTTGAATTAGCAAATTCTGGTTAATTTGGTAATTCAGAGGCTGTTTTATTCTCCACCTGAGAAAAGGCTAGCAGTCCTTTAAGATTAAGGGTGAAATGTTGGAAGTAAAAATGCACATAATATCCGATTTGAAAAAGATATCTTAGAATCTGTAATTAAGGCAGGCTAAAGTCAATATTGCTCAAATGTCAGGGTAATATGGCTTTTTAAGGCAACATGTTGCCTTGGTCTCTTACTAAAGGAAAGAACCATTAGTTGACTTTGCACGCGGAGCTCTCCGTCCTCAGGAAAGGACTCAGACAGATATCTAGTGGGCTCATGTTTTTAGAGGGAAACCTGTTTGAAAATAATCTGTATAATCCAATACATCAGGTAATCCACATAATCTTAAACAAACACACATAAGCAATTTTTAATTCTGTGACCAAACTATCTTTCCTAACCTGCTTTCTGGTTTAATTTCAGTAGTAATTTTCCCTCTTGAGTTTTCTTTTTTCTTTTTTTTTTTCCTTTTAATTTTTCTTAGGAGTGTGCTTTCCTTCTACCACCCTTTTCTTCTGTTTGCTGTTTGTTCTTGCCTCTGGCAGAAACCAAGCAAGGAAAATAGATAGTTGGCAAGGCTAAGAAACTGCCAACCTTCATAGGATTGGAGATAGTTAAACTCCTCCCTGTTAATCTCCTCAGTGTTTCCTAATGGCGTGAGAACCTCATTTCTGTTGCTGGTAGAAGGATCTGGAGAATGAGGAAGCCGTTCCAGTGAGTGGAGGATGAAGGGAAGGGACTGTGGGAGAAGGCATGTGCTGCCAGCAAAGAGCATGTCTGAGTTTTGTGAGTGCAGGGTCTGGGCCTGGGGCTGGCTGTTTATTAGTCATTCATTCCAGACTTACCACAGGCAATAAGGATAGGGGATTTTTTAACCTCACATCATTTATTAAAATAAAGTATGTATGGTTTACAAAGTTAAACATAAAAAATTAAAACTCAGCTGAGAGAAGCACTTAGCTGTACGTATATCCATCTCTTTCCCATCTTCACTGTCTCAGAGCCAGCTGGGTATCACCTCCTATTAAGGAGGGTCCAACAGCCAGAGTTTAGACCCCCATTTCCTTTTTCCTTCCCCAACTTGTTTCAATTACTTCTTTGTCGACTGCTCCATCTTTTCTTTTCTTCAAGCTTATTGAATATGGGTTCTGCCCTTAGTGTCTTAACTTTTTTTAGAATCTCTCATTCATAGCTTAAAACACGGCAATCCTCCATTGTTACCACGTGACTGAAACTGTTTTTTTTGCTAAGGTCACCTCCGAACAATAACTAACAGACCTAATTAACATTCCCCAGCTCTCATCTTTTTAGACCTCTTTCCATTAGTTAATGTAGCTGCTTACACATTCCTAAAGACCTTCCTTCTCAGGCTTCTGTGGTATCACACCTTAACTTTCTTGCTACCCTCTCCCTTTCTCCTAACCAGCTGTCTTCCTGGGCTGCCCTCTTCTCAAAAGTCAAGGCTTCCAGGGCTCTATATATCATCCTCTTGTACTCTCACGCTATACTCTCTTCCTAGGGATGATTCCTTATACCCAGAGCTGAAGATAACACCTGCACACAGAGATAAAATTCTGATGATCTTAGTTTTATTTTATGTAAAATGCAAGGTTGAATTTGTTCACTAAGTTCCTTCCCAACTCTAACATTCAAATCTTCTTTGGACTGGTTTCTCTATCTACCTTTAATACATCCCACTATCTGTGTTTATTTTCATTTAGATGAAAATGACAATGACAGACCACATACCTTTGACAATTGCCATTTTTCTGTCAGCTATGGACAATGTTTTCCTATTTCAACATTAAACTGTTTCCCTGGGACCTGTAACCACAACTCATATTTTAAAAGAAGCACTGTTTTGACCTATGCATGGGAGACAATTGTCTGCTGAAATGTAGCTTCAGAGCCTCACTGACACAAATGCCTCTCAAGACTGGCCATGACCTTCCCGTGGGCCCCCACATCTAATTTATCCCTAGACACTCAGCAGGGGAAATACCCCCAGGGAGCCAGCTTGACATCTCAGAAAGGTGGAAACTGAGCGTCATCTCTGATTTGTCATGGGTCTGTATGAATTGCTTCAGAGGTTTCAAGTCTTACTTGTCCCCTTCGCTTTTCCTTATGCTCAACACCACATTGGAATTGGAGCTAAATAAGACCACATTGCCCATTTGCCAATAGAGAATAGTATAGTTTGGAATCAAGAGTGTGAGCTCTGGCATCACATTGTGACCACGTGACTCCCAATTTTGTCCCTTATTAGCTGTGTGAACTTGGTGACTTCGGCAAGGAATTAACTCCTCAGTGTCTTCAGCTTGTGCCTATCACAACTGTTACTAGAATTGAATGTGTTATCACCTGTAAATGTTTTAGAACAGTAGATTTATCACCTGTAAGTGTTTTAGAACAGCACCTGGTACATAACAAATGTTTAAGCATTAGTTTATAGTATTATCATTTTTTGACATATGCTTATTTTAACTTGATAATTCTCTAGTGAAAACATATCATCAAAGATACACTTGCATTTAAGTGTGTATTTTGATTTTCACAAAAAGTCAGACAGTTCATAAGGTGAAAACTCTATCCCTACTCAGCATACCCTCAATACATACACACAAACACACACACACATGCACATGTGTACACACACACACACACACACACACACACACACTCATTCTCTCTCTTGAGCTCAGAGTCTGGTTAATGTCAATTACAGCTTGACTGCTGATGATCACATCAATACTTCCTATGGCTTATAACCAACCTTGAAAAAAATAGCCAGAAATACATTACTGTCATCAATAAATTAACACCCTTAAACTTAGAAGCTCCTGGTAAGTAGTAGATGACCCCCTAAGCCCAAGTATTAGATAGGCCCTCTCTATTTAAAACAGAATTTAACATTTACCAGAACTTTTTGGTTTTGACAATTTGACCACAGGAGTGTCAGCAGAGACAAAATTTAATAATGAGCTAATTACTAAGAGCACTGATAAGGCCTGTGAGAGATGTGTGTATGTAATATATAGTGTGAGGGTGTTACAAAGTGTAGGGCCATCCCTTTCCATCTTCTCCTGCCCCAGCAGGGCAAACATTTACCTTCACTGTCTAAGGGTAAAGCACTGATTGTGTGGCACGCAGGGCAGAAATTTCTTTGTTTGTGTGCATCAGCCTATATTTTGACAGGCTCCACGTAATTAAAGCGATAAGACCTGCCAATAAACCTAGAATACACACATTTTTATTTAAATGCATCCTGTATTCATATTCTTCAGATTTGTAGTGACTGTGGGAGAGGCTGATAGAAAAACAACTAAAATTTTAAATTTAGTCTCACAGTTGACATTCTCATACTAGAACTGAAATATTATGTGTCATAGCTAACTATATTTCTTGAAAGGGCTAGTCTCAAAGTTAATTGAGTAATGCTATCCTCTAATTCAAAAGCCAATTGATGCACTCATCCATGAAGGCTTAAGTTCATAGACTCAGACTGCTGGGCTATGAATTGAGTGCCAAATACAAACCAGCTTATGATATTTTTTTTTCTGTGACACAAAGAGAAGTGATTTATTTTTTCCTCCTTTTTTTCCTCTCGCCATTATAAAAAGTTTTTAATTTTATTTTCAAGTGGGACAGGGACAATTCTGATTTTAAATGTGACTTTTAAAATAAACTGCTTTAAAGTATTTGCATACTTTATGGCTGGGATATGTTTATGAAATTTCATATATATTAAATTTAAAAATTTCATATGTATTAAATAAAAAAACAGACATCAGTAGCATCTTGGGTAGGTCAGTTTCCTTATGCTATAGAACTAATCCTTTGTTTTTTATAACTTGCTCTTAAGTAGCTATACACCAGTTCTTTCCCTTCCTTTAGACTTCATGGTGTGGTGTAATACTCCTTAAACATTGTTTTCAAAGTACTTCTAAAAGAAGAAGAGAAAAAATTAGGAGGTGTGGGGTATGTAAGCATCTCATAATCATGTAATTATTTTGCATGTTTTAGTAATTCTATGAAATATATGCAAAATTTACAATTAGTTTGCAATATATCTATGTTTGTTTGAGTATAAAAAAAATTTCCCCCCCAAATCAGTGACTAAAATGAACTCCTCAGGAAGATATAACAAGTTTATCTGTGACTCCAATAATACCTATGCCTCAGGTCCTCCTCAGGACCACAAATAAGAGAAATAGCTGCAGTTGCACACACCACAGGAATGTGAACACTGACAACTGTCCTTTAACTCAGTTTTTTCCTACTTAAGGTCTTCAGGTTTTGGGGCATCATTGTTCTAATATTATATAACTTTTTCACCATCAATCAAGTTTATTTGATAAGTTTCATTTTATTTTTAATTGACAAATAATTTATATATTTATGTGGTACAGTTTGATGTTTTGAT